GTGACACCTGCAGGAATATACATTGTATTTTCAAAATTAATTTTCAATAGTTTTAAATCTGCATCTTATCTGCTTTTATTAAAATAATGATTGGTGATCCTGCCATGAAGGCCACTTCCTTTTATAGGGTAATAAGGCTTTGTTCCTGTCTACCAGTTGGGCCATTGCTTTCAATGGAAACTACAAGTAGCTGCTTCCATACACATTACGCAGACATGGTCCATTGTTCTCACCATGAAGAAACCCACCCTGACAAATATAAGGGAGCATATAAACAGTAAGTGGCTGCAAAGAGGTAGCAGGAGATCAATGACACTGAGCTGCAACAAAAGATAAAAGACAAAAGAGAAGATTAGTATTTTAATTAAAACAATGGGCATTTTTTATGATACACAGTGCTTTGGCAAACTAAATGTCTTTCAAATAATTTACATCAAAAAAATTAAAGGAACACTTTCTAATCAGAGTATAGCATCAAGTCAATTACACTCCTGGGATATAGATCTGGTCAGTTAAATAGCAGAGGGGGTTGTTAATCAATTTCAGCTGCTTTGGTATTAATGAAATTAATAACAGGTGCACTAGATGGGCAACCATGAAACGACCCCCAAAACAGGAATGGTTTTGCAGGTGGAGGCCACTGACATTTTTTTCCTACTCATCTTTTTCTGACTGTTTTTCACATATTTTGTATTTGGCTAGGGTCAGTGTCATTACTGGTAGCATGAAGCAATACATGGACCCTACAGAGGTTGCACAGGCAGTCCAACTCCTCCAGGATGACTCAATACGTGCCATTGCCAGAAGGTTTACTGTATTTCCCAGCACAGCCTCAAGAGCATGGAGGAGATTCCAGGAGACAGACAGTTACTCTAGGAGACCTGGACAGGGCCGTAGAAGGTCCTTAACCCATCAGCAGGACAGGTATCTGCTCCTTTGTGCAAGGAGGAACAAGATGAGCACTGCCAGAGCCCTACAAAATGACCTCCAGCAAGCCACTGGTGTAAATGTGTCTGACTAAACAATCAGAAAAAGACTTCATGCGGGTGGCCTGAGAGCCTGACATCCTCTAGTGGGCCCTGTGCTCACTGCCCGACATCATAGACCTCTTTTGGCATTTGCCATTGAACATCAGAATTGGCAGCTCCACCACTGGTGCCCCATACTTTTCACAGATGAGAGCAGGTTCACCCTGAGCACATGTGAAAGATGTGAAAGGGTCTGGAGAAGCCATGGAGAACGTTATGCTGCCTGCAATATCGTTCAGCATGACCATTTTGGTGGTGGGTCAGTGATGGTCTGGGAGGCATATCCATAGAGGGATGCAGAGACCTCTACAGGCTAGACAATGGCACCCTGACTGCCATTAGGTATCGGGATTAAATCCTTGGACCCATTGTCAGACCCTATGCTGGTGCAGTGGGTCCTGGGTTCCTCCTGGTGCATGGCGATGCCTGGCCTCATGTGGCAAGAGTATGCAGGCAGTTCCTGGAGGATGAAGGAATTGATACCATTGAATGACCCCCATGCTTGCCTGACCTAAATCCAATAGAACACCTCTGGGATATCATGTTTTGGTCCTTTCGACTCCGCCAGGATGCACCTCAGACTGTCCAGAAGCTCATTGATGCCTTGGCCAGATCTGGGAGGAAATACCCCAGGACACCATTTGTCGTCTCATTAGGAGCATGCCCCGATGTTGTCAGGCATTCATACAAGCACGTGGGGGCCATACAAACTACTAAGTACCATTTTGAGTTGCTGCAATGAAATTTCAGCAAAATGGACTAGCCTGCTGCATCATTTTTTCACTTTGATTTTTGAGGTGTCTTTGAATTCAGACCTCTGTAGGTTGATAATTTTCATTTCCATCTAACGATGTGGCAATTGCTAATCAGTCAATCACATGGCAGCAACTCAATGCATTTAGGCATCTAGACATGATGAAGGTGACTTGCTGAAGTTCAAACCAAGCATCAGAATGGGGAAAAAAGGGAATTTAAGTAACTTTGAACGTGGCATGGTTATTGGTGCCAGACAGGCTGGTCTGAGTATTTCAAAAACTGCTGATCTCCTGGGATTTTCACACATAACCACCTCTAGGGTTTACAGAGAATGGCCCAGAAAAAGAAAATATCCAGTGAGCAGCAGTTCTGTGAACGAAAATACCTTGTTGATGTCAGAGGAGAATGGGCATTCCATTTCACCTGTGACATTCAGATTTTAGGGTCAGAATTTGATGTAAACATCATGAAAGCACGGATCCATCCTGCCTTGTACCAACGGTTCAGGGTGGTGGTGGTGTAATGGTGTGGGGGATATTTTCTTGCCACTAGCAAGGTGTACCTAATAAAGTGGCTGATGAGTGTGTGTATATATATATATATATATATATATATATATATATATAGCATTTCCATATTTTTATTTATTTATTTCAGGTACTTATATAGCTCCGTCAATTTACGCAGTGCTTTACATATATATTGTACATTCACATAAGTCCCTAACCCTCAAGGGGCATACAATCTAATGTCCCTAACTGACATTCATACATATACATACTAGGGCCAATTTAGACAGGATCCAATTAACCTACCAGCATGTCTTTGGAGTGTGGGGGGAAACCGGAGTACCCGGAGGAAACCCACAGGGACACAGGGAGAACATGCAAACTCTAGGCAGGTGGTGCCATGTTTGGGATTTGACCCAATGACCCTGGTACTGCCAGGTGGAAGTGCTAACCATTTAATCACTGTGCTGCCCCCATTTCCATATATTTAATGTGATCTGTAGGTAGGTATTTGTAAGAAATGTGTTCATCGTATGCATTTCTAAGAGACATATATACAAGCATATTGTAACTTCAGTTTATGTGATTGTATTGCAGTTTTACAGAGCTATTCACGGAAGTAAACTCAGTTTTGGAATGAAACACAGCGCTGTTCCTGCCAATGTTGTTAGCTAGCTGTTGGCTTAGTAGGACAGCATAAAGGCTATTAAGTAAGGGATGTGTATGGATTGTGTTTGTAGAACAGTGATATTGTTTAGTGTCACTTTAACCTCCCTAGCGGTATTCCCGAGTGTAGCTCGAGGTAAAATGTCAGTACCAAAAGCGGTAACCCCGAGCTACACTCGGGCTTACCATGTGGCGCTGCATAGGGAGTCCCTGCAGAGCTTACCTTGTCCTGCGCTCCCGCCATGTGTCCCCTGCAGCGTCCCCGGCCATCTCCTCCGGCCGATGCCGGCATCTGTGTTCCGGTCCCTGTGACGTCGGGACGTACGGGCACCGGCGGCGGCGGGAAATTTGAAAATTTTAAAAAATGTCATTTTTTTCCAAATAAATTTTACATAGTAAAACATTGCTGTTTCAACCCATTTCACATACATTTTGTCCCGAGTGCTTTGTCCTGTCCCCTGTCTGCATTTTGTCTGTTTTTTCTGCCTGGAAACTGAGAAACGTCCATGGCGTCCAAAAAGCGTCCCTTTATGTCAAAAGCGGGTTTAGATCAGCTAGAGAACAACGATAGTAAATCAGAACCACTTGCAGAATTGAGTGATAATGATTCGTGGGGAAATTCGTCATCAGACACTGAAAACGATTTTGCGACTTTGCTCAGCAATGTGCGAACTTGGCGCTATATTTCAAATTTCAGTGTTTTTGGTTTGATTATATTATTGAATTAAATGTATTATTATTATATTATTATTTTTTTTATGATTATTTATTAAATTATAATTTATGATTTCGTGTTTCAAGTTTTATCCTACCCGGGATGTTTACTAGACTTGTTCGGACAGATTTCAGTGAGTTATTCCTAAATTACAGGCCTACAATAAAAAACTACATATTTCCATGCAAAATAATCGTACCGCTTTCAGCACCAAAAATCTGAAATAATCATACTGCTAGGGAGGTTAAACAGTGGACAGTGCAGTCTTGGAGAATGGAGGGGGATGAGAAGGGAGGAACAGGGGAGTGCCTTTCCTAGGATATGGGGCTGTGTGTTTCAAGTGATGCATACAGTGTAGGGAGACAGAACTCTAGTCCCTGCATATCAGGATAGCTCCATAAGGTGTTACAAGAAAAAGGAGCCATACTGAAACAAGAAACCTGTGGCAATGGTCATGGCACCAGCTTAAACGGGAACATAGACAAGGATTAAAGAATAAAGAAGCTGCATATTCAGTATGAGATTAAATCTGCTGCTGAAAGTGCCTAAAACTGAAGGTTTAATATCACTTTGACCATATAGGAGATAACAATGCACTAAAGCCACTTTGAGTATATTTTCCCTTACAAGGGAAGTTGAAAACTAAACACTTGGACCATATGCCATCAACATCTTCAGAACAGTACAGAAAAAGGTCTAATGTTTTCTGGGGGTCTTCAATACATTTAGCAGCCCAGTGCGGCCATGCTCAGTGTTCTTCCTGTGTTTGTACATTTTAAGAGACGTGTGTTAATCCTCGGAGTATTTCATCTGTGGGATAGGCAATGCTCTCTAGACATTCCTCCCTTCTCAGAGTCACCTGAAAGGGGCAATAACTCAAATGTGCAGACAGAGGCCTGCCAGCTTCTGGAAGTGGTCTCCCTTCATGTCAGCACAGGGCAGAGTTATGACCTCTGATTGTACATAAACACAACGTTCAGCAACAGCTGGTTCCTTGTTCCAGTAGTTTAGCTTTATCCGGGGTCATACATTAAACACAAAGGGTGGGCTTGTTATCTCTTGGGGGGTTTTAAAGCGCCATGGCCTGTCCCTGCCCCCCATCTTCACTCTCACACATCTCCTTCATACATAGCCAGATTGTTCCTAGCTGAGAGATATGTCATGGCTGCTGCAATAAAAGGGAACATGTTATGGGGGGCATGGAGGGTAGAATGTTATGAGAGAGTGTTTCCTATCAATGGGTAAAGCATTGCTAACCACTTCAAGACCGGCACTTTCATGACGTCCTTCTTTTATTTTTTGTTTTATGTTAGTTCTTTTGGTACCAGGGGCAGACTGACCATTTGGATACTCAGGCACTGCCCGAGGGCCCGGGGTCAGTAGGGGGCCCCATGAGATGCCCCTGGTACCTTTTTCATAGGCTTTTTTGTTTGGGCAAGGACACAGGAGCCCCATGATCCCATATTGCCTGGGGGCCCCATGAGTTGTCAGTCCACCCCTGTTTGGTACTGTCTCATCTTGTGGTGATGGCTAACTGTGGTATTTACCTATATGTCTAAATATGTGCAAAATTTGCAATAAAGCATCATTTTTTGATAACTCTTTGGGTATCGCTTTCTGTCCATGATGTAACTGCTTTTTTCTTGTGAATTCTTTTTTCACCCCCACCCCCTTTTTCGATTTCAGCCCCTTCCTTCCTGCCATGGTCAATTTTCAGTTTTCAGCGCTGTCGCACTTTGAATTACAATTGCGCGGTCATGCAACACTGTGCCCATCTGAAAAATGTTATCATTTTGTTCACACAAATAGAGCTTTCTTGTGGTGGTATTTAATCACCACTGGGTTTTTTTATTTGTTTTGCTAAATAAACAGAAAAGTCCAAACATTTTGAAAAAAAAAATAGTTTTTCTTCGTTTCTGTTATAACATTTTACAAATAAATAATCTTTCTCCATAAATGTATGCCAAAAAGTATACTGCTACATTTCTTTAGTAAAAATAACCCACAACAGTGTTTATTATTTAGTCTGTAGGAAAGTTATAGAGTCTACAAACTATGGTGTATATATATATATATATATATATATATATATATATATATATATGTTTGAAAATTGATCAGTCCTGATGTGCTGACAGCCAATCTCATTTCTCGAGGCCCGAAAATGCCAGGACAGTACAAATACCCCCCAAATGACCCCTTTTGGAAAGTAGACAGTCTGAGGTATTCAGTAAGATGCATGGCACATTTTTTTAAGAAGTCATCTTTTGGCACAATGAAGAAATATTTAGTTTTTTTTCACCAGTGCAGTACAGCGTTATCATAGAAACTGGTGTGGCAGTGATAAGGGACATCAATTTTTTTATTTATTTATTTATTTTATTTTTTATTACTTTTTTTTTTTTTTTTTTTTTTTTACTGTGACCAGAGCAATATAATGTTACTAAAATAACAACTCTGTGGAGGTGATCAGGATTTTTTTTTTGCACACTATGATTGCTTATAACAGTGAATATCCTGCTAAGCACATCCTTCTCCAGGCACTTCCTGTTATAAGGTGACAACGCTCAGTCTTTGTCTTCCAAACATTTTCCTGAGTTGTCACCCTACCACATGGTTTCCAATGGAAATGACAAGTGGCCGTTTAAACACACACTACCCAGGGGCGGACTGACCATTTGGAAACTCGGGCACTGCCCGAGGGCTTGGGGTCAGTAGGGGGCCCATGATCCCCTGTTGCCTGAGGGCCCCATGAGTTGTCAGTCCGCCCCTGACACTACCCATGCATGGTACACTGTTGTCACATCAGCAAACCCGCCCTGAGAAATGCCAAGCAGCTATCACTGGACTTCATGTAGACAAGAAGTGGCTGCAAAGAGGCTGTAGGAGATCAGAAGCACTGAAATGCCTCAAAGGATGAAAAGAAGGTAATGAAAAAAACAAAAATTTTTTCATACGAAAGTATCTATGGTATACAGTGCTTAACAAACTAAATGCCATTCAGTTACAGTTTACATCTACTTTAACCCTTTCCTGGCCACAATCCATACATTTGGCTCCATTCACATTACTGCATAGCGGGAACAAGCGTTCCCACTACGCGCCTTTGGCACCAGAAAAGAAGCTCCTGCACTTTTTCTGGCTGCAAGCTTCATGAGATTTTTAAAGGAGTGGTTTGCTGCATTTGCCATGTGATCCTATCACGTGACAATTACAACAGAATCGAATCGCGTTTGGGTTGCCATGAAAGATAATGCCACCCAAACACATGCCGCGTGTTGTGCTGCATGACAGTTCCAGTCCCCTTTTACAATCAGGAACCAATTAAAGTGGTTCCTACTACACCTCCTTTATGTTTTTTTACATGTTCCCATTGATGTAGCGTTACTTAAAACAATATTTAAAAATTGCTGCTTACCATTTACTTGTGTTTTACTTTCCTAAAATTCCCATTCAGCTTTCCTTTTCTGTGTAATGTTAAGCAGTTAGCTGGGGGAAGCATTTACCATAATTTACCTTGTCTGTACCCTGCTGGCAGATCTCATTATCATTTGTAAACTAAATTTGAACACTGCCTGTTCTAACAAAGGGTTAAACATCTCAAAGTTTGGATGGTTCACTGTATGTAAATGCACTTTATCTCAGTCTCTCCCCACACTGAAATAGGTCAGAATAGCGTGCAGTCCTGTAAAAACCTGCTCCAAAGAAACAACTAGAAAAGTAAGAAATATTGGAAAAATATATTATAACGTATGTTGTGTAAATAGGAAAACAAAACATATACAATAAAGGTTTCTCAAGTTCGCCTTAAAAAATGGAACTATACTTTAAAGTGATATTAAACTTAAAAGCAAACATTCTATATATTGCAGCTTACCAGTCCTTAAGTTTGGTGGCTGCATTAGTTTTCTTGCCTTAGGCTTTTTTTTTCTTTTATTTTCTCCTAGTGATCTGGCCATTAACACACCTCCTGCCCCAAGATGGCTCCACTCTATGGAAGAGCAATGAAGCCACCCTTGGACAGCATCATTGTCAATCTAGGGAAGGCAGTGTTAGATGCACCAGAAGATCTAGAAGGACTTGACTAACAAATTAAAACAGAATTCCAAACAATAAGCAGCTAGATCAGTTTTTTTCCTTGTGGAATTTTACATAAATTAAGATTTAAAAAGTTTTACATAAGTGAATAAAAGCTGACCACTGTAAGCACCCCTGTCAGTGGTAAATGTTTTGTATCAGCCCTCTAACTGCCACATTTGTTGGACAGCTTGGTCTCTTTAAAAAAAAATGGACTTGCTGGCGGAATCAACAGATGAAAGAAAACCTAAAAAAAGGAAACTAATGCAGCAACCACATTAAAGAATTGGCGAGCTGCATAATACAGTTTTGCTTAAGCATTTAATATTGCTTTAAGGCTTCATTCACAAAATAAGTCCTTAGCCTGCAAACGTCTCTCACCCTGAAGATGGCAGTGTGCTTCTGTTAAATACTGTAATTTTCAGATATAACTACAGTATTAAAAAGCAATATAAACATTTTAAAATGTTAAAAACAAAAAAAATATTTTTGGTGCATTTGTCAGCCTACAATAAAAACAGCTGGCTTTTTCAAAAGAGTGCAGCAAATAAATGCCGCACATGTCCTTATGAAAAAAAAAAAGTAATAATAATTAAAAAAATAATATATATATATATATAATATATATATATATATACATACACATATATATATATATATATATATATATATATGTATAAATTACGTATTTAATGTTTTCATGCAAGAACACTTTAACTTTTCTAATTAAATCTTAGTCTGAAACTCAGGTGAAAGTCGTGTGAATCTTGGATGAAAAAAACGATAAATAGACCACTATAGAGCTATAGCCAAATTAACTGACATATGCTGACGCTAATAAACTGACCCCTTCACTTTGGTTTTAGTTATAATTACCCTTCACTGAAACAAAATGTGGAGGAGCAGCTCAGAGCTGCTTTTTCTTTTGGAATACAGCTTGACCTTGGAAAATAATAGTTATATCCAGTCTTTATCCAAAGCAAAATGTACATTTGTTACTGGCTTCTTCAGTGCCAACAACAATACATTATAGCAACTAATTAGATTTCCATATATTGTCAGATTGCTGACAAAAAAAAAGAAAAAAAAATATTGGCTGCATTCTTGGTGTATTGACGTGTTTTGCTTTTCAAGTTTATTTCATTTTATCAAAGTTGTTAATTAAGCTATTCAAAAACAAAATTCATTTAAAATGTATGTTGATACAACTCACGACAATATACAGTATGGGGGATATTTACTAAAACTGGTGCACTCGGAATCTGGTGCAGCTGTGCATGGTAGCCAATCAGCTTCTAACTTCAACTTATTCAGTTAAGCTTTGCCAATAAAACCTGTAAGCTGATTGGTTGCTATGCACAGCTGCACTGGATTTTACACCATACAGTTTTAGTAAATAACTCTATGGGAGATATTTACTAAAACTGGTGAACTCAGAGTTTGGTATGGCTGTGCATGGTAGCCAATCAGCTTCTAACTGCAGCTTGTTCAATTAACAAATTAACTTGTTCAATTAGCTTTGACAATAAAACCTGGAAGCTGATTGGTTTCTATGCAGAGCTGCAATAGATTTTGCTACATGCAGTTTTAGTAAATAACCCCCATATGTATTTTGGTGTAATTCAGCCCTACATATCAGTAAATTGAAAATTCTCAATACACATCAAGTGTAGCTTTCTACCCTACAAAGGCTTCCATGCAGAAACACTCTGGACCAATAGACTACATAGCTATCAAGCATTCTATATTCTGAAAGTACCTGTAGGTACAACCGATTTCTTTTTTTTTTTCTTTATATAAGTGTATATATACAAAACATCCACTTATTTACTATAAAATCTGATCCAATGTATAGATATTGTTGTGCACACTATCCTTTTGCTGTTAGCAAATCCATTATAAAGTATAAGGATTATCGAGGCTCATTTTCCATAAAATATCAGATCATGGAAAATTATTTAAAATAATGATATAGGGTGGATTTACTAAAGGTGCTTCAGCCAAGTTAGCCCATCTGTTTCTCAAACAACGAGGTATGACTCAAGTAAATGTTACGGCTATCACTGGTAAATGTCCTATATAGGGCTAGAGCTAGAAGTATACAATTCTTTTCGGGATGACTTGGGTTGTGCTACCATCATGCCATAATTGACATACTTCATTATACATTTTTTTTTTAAATCAGGTGACAAGCTTTTGGTTGGCTTACATTATTCTATGGCTGCTTTCCAGCTAAATTCAAATATCTAACATTACATAATGTGGTGTAATCTTCACCCGAAGGCAAGCCAGCACAACAATACATAGCAGATTATGCCACCTAGTGGGCAAGTTAATGTCTTACTTGTTCAAAATGCCCAGTTCAAAAGTAGTTTGCAAACTGCAGAACTGGTGTATACACTAAATTCCGATTAGCTGCGTTCTTGTTTGTAATGTCTGGCTTTCAATTTCACCTAATGTTATCAAACTGATTTTTATGAACATGACAGTATTTATTTTTCATACTGAACAATCAATCTAATATATAAAGTATCTAAAAATATATGTATTAGTATTAAAGGATTGGGTATGAGCATTAATGTATTGAAAGTTACATTTCAGCTACAGGTGGGCTCTGAGGTGCTGAATCACACACATCACTTACTTTGTAGAGATGGGCTGTAAAGGTGGTGAAGACATTCCTTCCAGTTTTAGAACTTGAGAAAGAGGAGTGCCTTGGCATGTAGACAATATGCAGGCACTACAGCAAAAAGTAAACAGGGCTGGTGCTGTACACTGGGTTTGCCATATATAGAGTTTGAGATTACTCACAGTATACACTGCACATATTTGCTATACAAGAATACTCCTTAAAGCGGAGTTCCACTCAAAAGGGGAAGTTCCGCTTTAATGCTTTCTTCCCCTACTCCCCATTAAGAATTGGCACCTTTGGGGATCAGGGAGGAGCGGGTACGTGAATTTGACAGGTACCCGCTCCCACTTCTGCTGCGATCACCTAGGCGATTGGAAGCGGAAGTTGTCCTCTTTCCCCGTAGTCTTCTGGGACACGTGACAGGTCCCAGAAGATTACGGGACCATTCACAAAGTGCAGCACTTCTCACGCATGCGCAGTGAGCACCTGGCTGTGAAGCCGCAAGCTGTCACAGCTGGGTGCCCACACTGAAGATGCTGGCACCAGGGAGAGAAGACAGCCGGGGAAACCAGAGGTGGTGAGGACATCGCTGGACCGAGGGACAGGTAAGTGGCTGTATTTTAAAAGTCAGCAGCTACAGTTTTTGTAGCTGGCACTTTTTTTTGTTTTTCTTTTCAGCTGGAACTCCGCTTTAAAGGGGAACTTCACCCAAAAGCAAAAGTTCCACTCTTCCTCCTTGCCTCCTCTGCCACATTTGGATTACTTTTTTGGGGGGAGCAGGTACCTAGTTTTTAGTGGAAGTTCTCTCGCCCCTGCAACCTTCTGGGACTCATCACAGGTCCCAGAATGCTGCAGGACCACTCACAAAGCACAGCGGAGCTTGCGCATACGCAGTGGCAGCCAGCTGTGAAGTAGTGGCAGCCTGGCTGTCCACAGTTGAATTGCCAGCACCAGGAACCCATAGACTAGTAAAGAATTGGTCCAGGTGATGACAATGCTGGATCCTTGGACAGGTAAGTGTCTGTTTATTAAAAGTCAACAGCTACAGTTTTTGAAGCTGCTAACTTTTAATTTTGGCACATCTGAGTGAAGCTGCTCTTTAATTACCGTGTCACAGGCAAGAATCTCACAGAAAC